AAGAATCGTTTGCACGGGGGGCGGTTAAAGTTTGGACTAGTTCAGACGGAGTTCACAGAAGCATAATCAGTTTAAAAAAAAACGATTGGACAAACATTGGGAAACCCGACATTGTACGACATCAAAGGCGACTATTTCCTCAAAGGTATTGAAAAGTCGAATATGGCGGGACCATGAGGATTCTGAACTGGAAACCATCTTCAGTAAGTGCTATAACTAGAAATTTACGTTTCTCGGATTTACTATAAAAGGTACGAGGACATTTAGATATAAAGAGAAATTACCAAACATTGATATTTGTTGATTTCACAATGTGTTATCAAAGGGAGATTCTGAGAGGAATTTTTTTAGCATTTTTCGTTTTGGTGATGATGTGGTCAAAGACAGTCAACGTGTGTGAAATAATTTTCAGAGTTGGGGAGGAGATGCTTGCACCCATCACTTGTTGAGAATCGAGTCGCGACCACAACTAGCTCTAATCCACAAAATTATTTATTTTTCGCTGCAAGAGTTCACTGACCGCCAACAATATATATATATATATATATATATATATATATATATATATATATATATATATATATATATATATATATATATATATATATATATATATATATATATATATATATATATATATATATATATATTAGAACTGACCTACAACCGTATTTTTATTTGCTCCTCAGTTGTAGTTTTATGCTACGTCAGCTTACCTATGTAGCAACATATAATAATCGGCAACTCTGTCTTTCCAGGATCCCTCACCATGCAGACGAGATTACACCAGTGAACCACTTCGATCTTGCTAAATTTTCACCTTTCACCTGGTGTTTCCTTCCAGTGGTCTCCTTTAAAAGAAATTAAGATGCTACGCTTTGCAAGTTGCAGGTGCATGTTGCATCACTCGTAAGCAGAGTAAGGAGTGGCGAGGCTTTTCACAAGGTCCTCCATGAGAGGTGTTTTGTGTGACGTCCACAATTAACAATTAACAGTTGTGTTTACAATAGTTTATCATCCTGGTATAACATCACTGGTTCTCTGGCACGTACAGCAGAGATTGGTACTGTACTGTATGTGTACCTCTTCGTGTTGTTACTAGTTATACATGCACTCGATCTATTAACTCAGAATAAATTAAGTTCACTAATTTTTTGTGACTTCTTGACACCAAATACTAGTCGAGAAGTGATTGGCAGTCCGATTTATTCATGTAGGACCATTACTTGACTTCATTGCGGCTACATTTGGGTAAATTACTCGCTCCCTCGGTTCTTGCACGGGATCTATTAACTCAGATTAAATTAAGTTTTCCAATTTTTTTGACTTTGTGACACGAAATACTAATCGAGAAGTGATTAGCAGTCCGATTTATTCATGTAGGACCATTATTTGTCTTCATTGCGGCTACATTTGGGTATTTAGGATATATATTCCTCGTAAATGTAGGTGTAAGATGAAGCTCAAAAATGTTCAGATGGAATTAACTTGGAGAAACTTTTGAAAGATTCTGTATGCTGTTGCGAAAAGGTATCTATGTAGTCTCATTGTAATTTTGATGTTATATTACGCCTTTATATTCGTCCGTAGTTCGCATCAATTATTAAGGTATGTATACATTCTTACCTCTGCAGATTCTGGTGCTTAGATAGAAAAGCTGTTATTATTTATTTTTATTACTTGCATGTCATCAAAGTACTCGTCATACGGGCTTAGTGAATTCTACTACCAGTGTCCTGATGAGTGTTCGTTAATACTTCAGGTAACACCTTGAGTACGATGACTTACCCCCTTGAGCATGACAACTTAAGGGGTTGTCATCGTACTCTATCAAGTGGTTAAGACATACAAATAACAGTATGGTATGATGATAGCCTGATTGGTGGTCCTCGAATGGTAGATTATGATGCAGTACCTCCGGGTGACAAAGTCAGTGTTTCTTATGAACGAGAAGTACAGATAAAAGAAATCCTGACAGAAAATACATACACTGGCGCATTAATCCTTGGCAAGTGTTTAATACTATGAAAACGTGGATGTGACGTTATCTTTACCGTGTGATTGCATCAGCTAACAGTTGTTTCCCACGAGAACCTTTTGCACACGTAATATGGGCCTACTTTTGGTAAGTTTGTGTTATCCTCAGTGTTTGTAATGTATAACGAACTTGATCTCATGTTTCTAATATAACGAACTTGATCTAATGTTGTAATATAACGAACTAGATCTCATATTTGTAATATAACGAACTACCAGGGTGTTTGTAATATATTACCCAAGTGAAGAGCTTGACCTAAGTCGCGATAAATGTAAATATTTTTTTATACAAAGTATTGGATTATTAAGTTATTATAATATTACGTTCCTAGTGATTCGGGCGGGTTATAAAGCAGGTGATTTGAATGGGCCGAATGACTAGTAAGAACGGAGGCTTATATTTGGCGGGAGATGAGAAAACTTGTCTTCTAAACTAATTTTTTTTAATTACCAAATTTAATAAGAACATTACAGCTACTTCGCAGTAAAATAATGAGTTAAAAAATACAAACAATTATAATATATTGTTTAAGGGATAAATAAATTTTAGACCAAAGATATTTTCCAGCAAATTTTAGTCACGTATAAACGTAAATGCTGGGTACCGCGAACGCCACTTCGCGTGACGTTTTAAACGAGCCCCGACATTCATTGAGAAAAGACGGTCATTAACTCTCTAGAAGAAAGACGTAACAGCTGCCTCCCTACCCATTAGATGTTCTTGAACCTTCAATCAACCAATATTATGTCCATATAAGTTTATATATTTTGTGTATATCAAGACGTATGAACATCCACCCACTCATAGAAGTTGAGGCGTGGACATCTCCAGCCCAGCAGAGCTTATACTCGGGTATGTTGCTGAATTAGTGCATAGACTACGCCCTTATAATTATTAGATGGCAATCATAAGTAATTTTTCAGAGTTTTGATAGAGTAGCAGTGGTGAATTTTTAATCAACTGCGGGAGAGTAGGGCCTCGTATTTCTACTTAGCGTGTTACCACAGTTCTATCTCAAGTAATTAAAAGCGTAAACAACCATTCCAAAATTCCTGGCAACCTATATCGGTTTCTAAAACTTCGAATGGAAAAAAATATACATTTCCTGCTCGGCATATTATGTGACGAGCAGTTTGGTTTTGTAAAGTTTGGTTTTGTAAAGTTTGGCATTTCGACCATAGTTCTTTGTTAAGGAGAGTTAGTGTAACTTTTGCCATCTCTGAAACGTCTGGCGAAGTCGGTATATACAAGTCTGTCAGCACATCAGTAGAATAATTAATGTAGGCGATAATAAAGCGAATGTCTCCTAAATATTAGATTAATTACTTATGAGTCTTTACAGTTTTATTGGTTACTAATATTTTCCAGTTCATATCAGTTTAAAAGTTCTGTCTAATCCCATGAAAATAAAATCTCGGTCGTCTGGTGATAATTGATCCAAAAGCCTTTTATTCTCTTATCATGAACGGAAATTAATGCCAGAATGTAGTTATGATAAATGACGTAATAGTTAACAGTGATACTATTTATTCATTCTGTTCTGTTATGTTTGAAGCCAACTTCTCAGCTGTATATCACGTCCCCCCAGGATGAGAAAAGGGTGCAATGTTGACAGACGTTACTGGGTCAGCGTATAGCATTGTGAAGTAATATAGAGTAGTTGACGAAGACAATAAGTACGGTAGCATGACGTGAATTCTGCGACAGTGTTAGGACTGGAGAACCGGTTATAACTCGATCGCCTCCCCCTCGACCCACTGCGCATCTTTTGGCGCGCAACACTCGTTTACGGGGAGCGGTGACACCCACTACTCTTGCACACACATTCGTTTTGTTTTATTATAAAATTTGATATTTTGTTTTAATATCAAGACGAATGCGAGTGTTTGATAAATGATGAGCTTGGAAGAGAGGATTTCCGATTGCTGACTCGACTCTTACATGTATTGCGTCATTCACAATCTAATGGAAATAACACCATTCCATACTGACCAAATGACAATCCACCAGCACCATATTATATCACAAATTATATAATATGCACTCTGTCCAAATAGTTTATCTAACAGACTTGCAGTGAGCACTAAGTGGCGGGGTTCCAACGCACGCGCAGTACTGGGGATTGCCACGTGCGGGCCAGACTCGGCGTTCCGGCTGGGGTGATGCCAGTGACCAGACTATTGCACGCCGCTTCAAGGAATTATCTACTAGGGGTGGGGGACTGAGTGTATGAGGGGGAGAGAGGTGTGTCATAGGCGATAAGCATCAGCAGTCTGCTACGGGGTTATAAGGCAGTTTAGTTAGCTTTACGAAACTTCTGGGATCGAAATGTTTTGGAATAGAACGTCTAAGACTAGATTTCGGTGGACCCAAACATATGGAACGAAATTACAAGGTAGAACAGCCGTCTGTAATGTTCAATCACCCATGTCACATTATAGGTGTGTCGTAATTAGTGGGACGAATAGTTTATCATAAAACCTTTTGTCTTCCTCTTGCTGTTGGCAAAAAAAATCATATTAAGATGTCTGGTGAGGCAAGATAGGATTATCATATTGATATTTAATACGATAATCCCAACTAATTTGCTATGAGTCTTGCTCATTATAATATATATTTATTTTGGCGATGTTGATAATTACTGTGAATACTTGTGTTTCCTCAAGAAATATGTAAGAACGAGAAGCTATCAGTATGTACACAGGTAAACGTATTTTTCTGATTTTCAGTTGGAGTGCCTGACGAAAGTATTTACCATGGTTATTATTATGCAGCTATATTATGAACATGCACTTTTGAATTCATTATCAACACCAGATTTATTATGAAAAAATAAATAAAATAAATGAAAATTAGACGCGAACTAAATAGTGCTAAAGATTATCATGGGTGGTGGTGATGGCATTATTTGGTTGGTGAACTGTGGCAACCCCACTGAGTGTGAGCGCCAAGAACCCCAGCTGAACAGAGTAGTCGGCAGTGTGTGTGTAGATCTCGCGTTGTAAGTATCGAACGTCTCCGTGCCAAAGCCATGACTGAAGCCAGAAATGATTACAAGGAGGTCCCCATGAAAGAGGCGGACGAAATCAAGAAGGACGATGAGGTGGTGGGACTCAAGCCCAAGATGACGCTGTTTAACGGCATTACGGTGATCGTAGGCTCCATCATCGGCTCTGGGATTTTCATCTCCCCGACGGGCGTGCTGAAGAACACCGGCAGCGTGGGCATGTCCCTCATCGTGTGGATTGCCAGCGGGGTCTTCTCCATGGTCGGCGCCTACTGCTACGCCGAACTGGGCTGCATGATCCAGAAAACTGGCGCCGATTATGCCTATATTATGGTAACGTTTGGGCCGTTCCTGGCGTTCATGAGGCTTTGGGTGGAGTGCATCATAGTACGGCCATGCTCGCAAACCATCGTGGCACTCACGTTCAGCGAATACATCATGAAGCCGTTCTTCCCTACCTGCATGCCACCCGACGTGTCTGGACGTCTTCTGGCCGCCGTGTGCATCCGTAAGTATACTTGCGTGACTTCTGGACGCTTCTCTCGACACCTGACCTGATCTCCTTGGCATATATTTACATTTTTTTTAATAAAGAAGTGACACAAACCTTTGGAGCTCCTTGTACCATATGTTTCACTTGTCCACGGAAGATAATACCATGGATCCTCTCATTCCCTCAACTCCAGACAAAGTTTACGACTCTAGTGTATTATCGTTTTTCTCGAGTTGTATCTCACGCATACAGAGTTTTACCTTGTTACGTATTTAAAGACCTTAGTTTTTGAAGCGCAGTACAGTAATAACATTTTAACAACTGTCACGTCCACAGGCACAAATCGAAGTGACAGTTTATATCAAGATGTTTGTTTTTTCCAAGCTCGTTTATAATCATGGTTGTGCTGTCACCTACAGGTACACATTCATAATGGGCCGACTGCTTGTGCTGTTTTTATCAGTTTTCGAAGAATACTTGGACACCTTACTTGCTTAAGTTAGTGTTTCTTGATACAAAATTACATCTTAAACGAGGACAAAATTATTGTTATGCAGGTATATCGAATATTATTATGGGGTTCAACCGTTCAAGAATATTCGTAGTGGGAGAAACTTCGCCAACGCCTAGTGCAAATAACATTCACGTGTACCTGGACTCGGCCGCTTCTCTGATGCTGAGGCGCGCCCGAACGTTGAAATTCAAGTTACATTTCCTTCTCTATTGCAACATTAATTTACACATGGAGAATCACATTGATTAGTTATTATTTACACTTAATGAAATTCTCTTGTTACTTTACAAAAATTATGTGTGAACTTGTTTGAACATGTTTGTTTTGATGGCCTGGGAGGGAGAACGCGGCAGTACTGCCAGACGTAAGTGAAGCCTACAACAATATCGTACAATGCATTAGTATTTGATGAAAGTCACGAGAATGATGAAGAATAACTCAGGCCACTTCTTTGCTCTAAACTGAGCTCTGCATTTGTATAGTCAGTATTACGCCTCAGGTTAGTTTATTTGTGTGCAGCATAAGGGGTGGTTAATTTTATTTAAATAACCACGTTCATCTAAGGTCAGCAACAGTGACACATTCTAGGTAAATATACGGGACTGAATTTTGTTAGCAATAAAGTTTTGCCCTTTGTTTATGGGGGTTTAATAATAGATTTTTGTGTAATCAGTGCCGTCTCTGTCCCTGGTCTACCACTACGCCCATGCTTTCCTGTTCTCGCCTTAAAGAGAGAGAGAGCACTGTACTGAGCCACACACCGCCTATATTGATTTGTTGACTGCCGGAAACCCCGTTAGAGCGACTTTCTGTGGCTGCAACAGGGATACGACAACGCTCCACCTCCACAATTTTCTGCTGGGAGTCATTCACTCTTTCCCTGTTCACTCCCGAGGGGCCTGACACAGGACCCTTCCATTTTTTCTTACTTTTGACCATTACTCCTTAAAAATAAAATTCACGTTGGAACGCCCAAAGGGATTTTAAAAGGTAAAGACTTCTTGGTAGGAATTCTTCGAAATGCCATACGGGGGTGACGAGGCAAAGAAAAAAAAAGAATTAGATGGAAATGTGCTACTGTAATTCAATATAGAAACATATATAGATTTATAATAAAGTTAACTTGATGGTTGTGGAAGAAGAATGTTACGTAAGCTAAGGCCAAGAAGTATAAACAAAACTACTGACATGTGTGAGTAGAAATGATGTGTGTGTGTGTGTGTGTGTGTGTGTGCGAGATCGTGAATATATTGTAATTATGTGTGGGTTGGTGTATGTGAGAAATAAAGAAGTTACGATGGCTGTCAGTCCATTTAATGCGTGCACAGTACACAGGAAGTTAACGTGGGAGGAGGTATCGATCTCAGCTGTTCTCCAGTGCTGATGAAGGTTGATCAATAACACGAGAGGGCGGTTCATCACTAACGCTGGTGGTGTAGTTTGATCAATAACACGGGATGTTGGTTAATCAATAACGCTGGTGATAGAGCTTGATCTATAATGCTGGAGATGGAAGTTGATCAATAACACTGGTGGTGGAGTTTGATCAGTAACGTTGGATATGGATGGTTGATCAGGAACACTGGTGAGGCAGGCGGTGTTCGTTGTGGTTTCGGGGGGGTCAGTGACCTCTCTCAGCTGTGGAGTGTAGCGAGTACAGAGGTTGGGAAGATGGGTGGAGGTGTAGGTGCGTAGTGTGAAAGTAGGGACGGTGTAGGTGGGTTTAGGGACAGTAGGGAAGATGTAGATCGGATTTAGGAAGTGTAGGGAAGGTGTGGGTATGAGTGGTAGAGGTTTAAATTGGAAGCTCTGAGACAATGTGTACTGTATTGGATGGTTTTCAGTAGATGAAGGTTCCGGGGGTGTAGATGGGAGAATTCGGGCATCATAGAGGAATGAGTTTGGGCGGAAGTGTGATAACTGGGTGTAGGGCTGGGCGTCAAAATTGGGTGTGAGCTGGGCGTCATAATTGGGTGTGGGGGCTGGGTGTAGGGCTGGGTGTCATAGCTGCGTGTAGGGCTGGGCGTCATAACTGGGTGTAGGGTTAGGTGTCATAACTGGGTGTAGGGCTGGGTGTCATAACTGCGTATAGGGCTGGGTGTAGGGTTAGGTGTCATAACTGGGTGTAGGGCTGGGTGTCATAACTGCGTATAGGGCTGGGTGCCATAACTGCGTATAGGGCTGGGTGTCATAACTGGGTGTAGGGCTGGGTGTCATAACTGCGTATAGGGCTGGGTGTCATAACTGGGTGTAGGGCTGGGTGTCATAACTGCGTATAGGGCTGGGCGTCATAACGGTGTAGGGCTGGGCGTCATAACTGGGTGTAGGGTTAGGTGTCATAACTGGGTGTAGGGCTGGGTGTCATAACTGCGTATAGGGCTGGGTGTAGGGTTAGGTGTCATAACTGGGTGTAGGGCTGGGTGTCATAACTGCGTATAGGGCTGGGTGCCATAACTGCGTATAGGGCTGGGTGTCATAACTGGGTGTAGGGCTGGGTGTCATAACTGCGTATAGGGCTGGGTGTCCAGTGTCATAACTGCGTATAGGGCTGGGTGTCATAACTGGGTGTAGGGCTGGGTGTCATAACTGCTGTACTGGGTGTCATAACTGGTATAAGGGCTGGGTGTCATAACTGCGTATAGGGCTGGGTGTCATAACTGGGTGTAGGGCTGGGTGTCATAACTGCGTATAGGGCTGGGCGTCATAACGGTGTAGGGCTGGGCGTCATAACTGGGTGTAGGGTTAGGTGTCATAACTGGGTGTAGGGCTGGCCGTAAGCAATGTTTAAGTTAAAGAAGGGTTGATAAGGTTTCATCGACGTGTGGCTGAGGCCTTTTGAGACCTGTGGGTTATGTGTATGAAGGAGACGACTTGTTATTTTGAGGTGTTGGACAGCGCTGGGAACATCTCTCTGCTGTCATTTAGTTCCGATGCTTTTTTTTGCAGACTTTGATGCAGTGATAAACAAACGTGAATCCTGGAGCTAAAGTACCATAGATTTTTGTTGACGTCTCTGTTTTGTGTCTGTTGCGTGCACGACCTCTTCAGATTATTGAGGGAATAACAAAAACAAGAAACGTCTGTACAGTATTCTCAAGCGGAAATGATGTGTTCTCTAGACCTGGTTCCTTGTTTACGTAGAGCCAACAGGTATCCACTGGTGGAACTGCGGCATCTGCTTGGCTGATTCGCAAACCATGGAGAGACGAATTGCAGTCAATATGTCAAAGCAACTTTGGTCTCCAGAGCGAAAAATTTTATTTTCGTCAGTGGTCAGGGAATCAAATGCCGCCGTTCCGCCAGTATATACTGTACGGGTATGTGTATGACAATAGGGTCCAGTTTGTCTAACTCCTTGCAACTGAATTCTAGTGTACGCAGACTACCATTGACAAACTAATATGATTGTGCTGTACCTCTGTCTGTTAATGAGCCATTGACAAAACAAAATCTGTGCTGAGTCGTGTTTGGTTGGACCAGAATATAAAGAAAGGGGACAGAAACCCCATTTTCCCCTCTGTCCAAGTTAACTAAAATGATTTCTATAATCCGATTACACTGTTATGTGTGCGGGGGGCGGGGGCGGGTTACTGAAGTGTCTGCTAATTTTCTTACGTTGGTATACGGTACTATTATACTGTATGATGTAACTGTGGGACTTAATGCATACAAATAGGAAACTGGCCTGACTAAACCAGTTAACCTAGCCTCCATTCCACCATCCTCAAGGGGAAAAAAGTACTTGGTCCATTGTACACGCTCATTAAGTTTCAATATACTGTAATTAGCAAAGAAGTGAGGTATAAGGGGGTTACAATTATTGCAATTACTGAATAACAAGAAAAGGTTAACAGCAGTTACCAGTACCTTCCTCTCCCTCACCACTCACAGGGAAATACAGTATAAATGGATAAAATAGTTACCGAGTCTCACATCCCTGGGCAGTAGGCTGAGTCGCCTCCGAATTATTATTGACTTCTTGTTAAAGTTGAAAGTTTCAGGTGGGGTGGAGTGGTGTGGAAAGGTTAGGCAGACGTGGTTGGGGGAGGGAGTTACTGGTGGTGGCTGAGTGGGGGTTACTGGTGGTGTGCTGGGAGAGGGAGGGGGTTAGTGGTAGTGGCTGGGAGAGGGAGGGGGTTAGTGGTGGTGGCTGGGAGAGATGGAGGGGATTAGTGGTGGTGGCTGGGAGATGGAGGGGGGTTAGTGGTGTTGGGGAGAGATGGAGGGTTAGTGGTGGTGTGCTGGGAGAGATGGAGGGGGTTAGTGGTGGTGTGCTGGGAGAGAGGGAGGGGGTTAGTGGTGGTGGCTGGGAGGTTAGTGGTTGTGGTTGGAAGGGGGGTTCTGGTGGTTGCGGAGGTAGAAGTTGAACTGTGACCACTAATCGATTAGACTGTCATAAATTTTAAAGACTTGACAGTTAATTTGCTTAGACTGGTTAAGGTGACAGTGAATGAACAGAGACATTATTTTCCAGGTAGGCATGACTGGATTGGATTATTGA